GAGAAAGTGTGTTACTGAAAGAGAGTGTGTTACTGAAAGAGAAAGTTGTGTTGTGTTGTGTTTTGTAGTGTTGTGTAATGTTGCGTTGTGTTTTGTAGTGTTGTGTTTGTGTAGTGTTGTGTTGTGTGGTGTAGTGTTGTGTTTTTGCAGAAAGAGAAAGTGTGTCACTCAAAGAGAAAGTGTGTTACAGAAAGTTTATTACTGAGAGAGAAAGCGTGTAACTGAAAGAGAAAGTGTGTTACTGAGAGAGAAAGTGTGTTACTGAAAGAGAAAGTGTGTTACAGAAAGAGAAAGTGTGTTACTGAGAGAGAAAGTGTGTTACTGAAAAAGAAAGTGTGTTACTGAAAGATAATGTGTGTTACAGAAAGTGTGTTACTGAAAGAGAAAGTGTGTTACTGAAAGAGAAAGTGTGTTACTGACAGATTAAATGGTGTGTTACAGAAAGTGTGTTACTGAAAGAGAAAGTGTGTTACTGAAAGAGAAAGTGTGTTTACTGACTGAAAAGAGAAAGTGTGTTGTGTGTTACAGAAAGTGTGTTACTGAAAGAGAAAGTGTGTTACTGAAAAGAAAGTGTGTTACTGAAAGAGAAAGTGTGTTACAGAAAGTGTGTTACAGAAAGAGAAAGTGTGTTACTGAAAGAGAAAGTGTGTTACAGAAAGAGAAAGTGTGTTACAGAAAGTTGTTCTGAAAGAGAAAGTGTGTTACTGAAAGAGAAAGTGTGTTACAGAAAGAGAAAGTGTGTTACTGAAAGAGAAAGTGTGTTACTGAAAGAGAAAGTGTGTTACTGAAAGAGAAAGTGTGTTACTGAAAGAGAAAGTGTGTTACTGAAAGAGAAAGTGTGTTACTGAAAGAGAAAGTGTGTTACTGAAAGAGAAAGTGTGTTACTGAAAGAGAAAGTTGTGTTGTGTAGTGTTGTGTTGTGTTGTGTAGTGTTGTGTTGTGTAGTGTTGTGTTGTGTGGTGTAGTGTTGTGTTTTTGCAGAAAGAGAAAGTGTGTTACTCAAAGAGAAAGTGTGTTACAGAAAGTGTGTTACTGAAAGAGAAAGCGTGTTACTGAAAGAGAAAGTGTGTTACTGAAAGAGAAAGTGTGTTACTGAAAGAGAAAGTGTGTTGCAGAAAGAGAAAGTGTGTTACTGAAAGAGAAAGTGTGTTACAGAAAGAGAAAGTGTGTTACTGAAAGAGAAAGTGTGTTACAGAAAGAGAAAGTGTGTTACTGAAAGAGAAAGTGTGTTACAGAAAGAGAAATTGTGTTACTCAAAGAGAAAGTGTATTACAGAAAGAGAAAGTGTGTTACTCAAAGAGAAAATGTGTTACAGAAATAGAAAGTGTGTTACTGAAAGAGAAAGTGTGTTACTGAAAGAGAAAGTGTGTTACTGAAAGAGAAAGTGTGTTACTGAAAGAGAAAGTGTGTTACAGAAAGAGAAAGTGTGTTACAGAAAGAGAGTGTGTTACTGAAAGAGAAAGTTGTGTTGTGTTGTGTTTTGTAGTGTTGTGTAATGTTGCGTTGTGTTTTGTAGTGTTGTGTTTGTGTAGTGTTGTGTTGTGTGGTGTAGTGTTGTGTTTTTGCAGAAAGAGAAAGTGTGTCACTCAAAGAGAAAGTGTGTTACAGAAAGTTTATTACTGAGAGAGAAAGCGTGTTACTGAAAGAGAAAGTGTGTTACTGAGAGAGAAAGTGTGTTACTGAAAGAGAAAGTGTGTTACAGAAAGAGAAAGTGTGTTACTGAGAGAGAAAGTGTGTTACTGAAAAGAAAGTGTGTTACTGAAAGAGAATGTGTGTTACAGAAAGTGTGTTACTGAAAGAGAAAGTGTGTTACTGAGAAAGAAAGTGTGTTACTGAAAGATGAAAGTGTGTTACAGAAAGAGAATGTGTGTTACTGAAAGAGAAAGCGTGTTACTGAGAGATAAAGTGTGTTACAGAAAGAGAAAGTGTGTTACTGAAAGAGAAAGTGTGTTGTGTATAGTAGTGTTGTGTAGTGTTGTGTTGTGTAGAGTGTGTTGTGTGTGTAGTGTTGTGTAGTGTTGTGTTGTGTAGTGTTGTGTTGTGTGGTGTAGTGTTGTGTTTTGCAGAAAGAGAAAGTGTGTTACTCAAAGAGAAAGTGTGTTACAGAAAGTGTGTTACTGAAAGAGAAAGCGTGTTACTGAAAGAGAAAGTGTGTTACTGAAAGAGAAAGTGTGTTACTGAGAGAGAGAGTGTGTTACAGAAAGAGAAAGTGTGTTACTGAAAGAGAAAGTGTGTTACAGAAGAGAATTGTGTTACTGAAAGAGAAAGTGTGTTACAGAAAGAGAAAGTGTGTTACTGAAAGAGAAAGTGTGTTACTGAAAGAGAAAGTGTGTTACAGAAAGATAAAGTGTGTAACTCAAAGAGAAAGTGTGTTACAGAAAGAGAAAGTGTGTTACTGAAAGAGAAAGTGTGTTACAGAAAGAGAAAGTGTGTTACTGAAAGAGAAAGTGTGTTACAGAAAGAGAAATTGTGTTACTCAAAGAGAAAGTGTATTACAGAAAGAGAAAGTGTGTTACTCAAAGAGAAAATGTGTTACAGAAATAGAAAGTGTGTTACTGAAAGAGAAAGTGTGTTACTGAAAGAGAAAGTGTGTTACTGAAAGAGAAAGTGTGTTACTGAAAGAGAAAGTGTGTTACAGAAAGAGAGTGTGTTACTGAAAGAGAAAGTTGTGTTGTGTTGTGTTTTGTAGTGTTGTGTAATGTTGCGTTGTGTTTTGTAGTGTTGTTTTGTGTAGTGTTGTGTTGTGTGGTGTAGTGTTGTGTTTTTGCAGAAAGAGAAAGTGTGTCACTCAAAGAGAAAGTGTGTTACAGAAAGTTTATTACTGAGAGAGAAAGCGTGTTACTGAAAGAGAAAGTGTGTTACTGAGAGAGAAAGTGTGTTACTGAAAGTGAAAGTGTGTTACAGAAAGAGAAAGTGTGTTACTGAGAGAGAAAGTGTGTTACTGAAAAAGAAAGTGTGTTACTGAAAGATAATGTGTGTTACAGAAAGTGTGTTACAGAAAGAGAAAGTGTGTTACTGAAAGAGAAAGTGTGTTACAGAAAGAGAAAGTGTGTTACAGAAAGTATGTTGCTGAAAGAGAAAGTGTGTTACTGAAAGAGAAAGTGTGTTACAGAAAGAATGTGTGTACTAAAGAGAAAGTGTGTTACTGAAAGAGAAAGTGTGTTACTGAGAGATAAAGTGTGTTACAGAAAGAGAAAGTGTGTTACTGAAAGAGAAAGTTGTGTTGTGTTTTGTAGTGTTGTGTAGTGTTGTGTTGTGTAGTGTTGTGTTGTGTGGTGTAGTGTTGTGTAGTGTTGTGTTGTGTAGTGTTGTGTTGTGTGGTGTAGTGTTGTGTTTTTGCAGAAAGAGAAAGTGTGTTACTCAAAGAGAAAGTGTGTTACTGAGAGGAAGTGTGTTACTGAAGAGAAGTGTGTTACTGAAGAGAAGTGTGTTACTGAAAGAGAAAGTGTGTTACTGAAAGAGAAAGTGTGTTACTGAAAGAGAAAGTGTGTTACAGAAAGAGAAAGTGTGTTACTGAAAGAGAAAGTGTGTTACTGAAAGAGAAAGTGTGTTACTGAAAGAGAAAGTGTGTTACTGAAAGAGAAAGTGTGTTACAGAAAGAGAAAGTGTGTTACTGAAAGAGAAAGTGTGTTACTGAAAGAGAAAGTGTGTTACTGAAAGAGAAAGTGTGTTACTGAAAGAAAGTGTTACAGAAAGTGTGTTACTGAAAGAGAAAGTGTGTTACAGAAAGAGAAAGTGTGTTACTGAAAGAGAAAGTGTGTTACAGAAAGAGAAAGTGTGTTACTGAAAGAGAAAGTGTGTTACAGAAAGAGAAAGTGTGTTACTCAAAGAGAAAGTGTGTTACAGAAAGAGAAAGTGTGTTA